ATACTAGCCCCATCATCTCAATACGTGTTGCTGATTGCTCCCAGATGTCCAAGACGGCGCCCAGACACCCCGACGCGGCTCTGACATCTTCCATTGTGATAAGGGGGGGGGGGCTGGCGGCTGATGGCGAAGCCCTCAAGACGGCCTCGAGGCTGCCCAGGTGGGGCCCTGAGCGGCCCAGGACTGCCCCGATGGAGGCGAAGCTGGGACGGCCGAGAGGGCCCCGAGACGGCCCAAGAAAGACCCAGGAGGGCCACAGAGGATCCCAAGACGATTCGAGAGGGCCCCAATGCGACCGTCAGAACTTCCCCACAAGAGGCCAGGGCGGCCCCGGGACGACCCGTGAGCTCCATGAGTGAATACGTAGGATGTCACATGTGACGGCCATCCTCTTCCCTCTCCTGCTCCTCCTCCTCCTCCTCTTTCTCCCACCCTCATCGTTTCCTCCATTATCCTAAGTGCTCTGCCCCAAGACACCTCAAACTAACCAAAGTGAAATCAAGGTGGCCGAAGTATGACATGTGACGGCGATATGACCACGACTCCAACCATCAACGCACTCAGTACCTTTAACACAGCTCCATTCACATGTTACAGCCTCATGTCGCCCCTCGGACAGAAAAATCGCATGTACTGGGCCGGCACGGTGGCGGGACGTCCTGCGGGCAACTGGATCGGCTCCCTCCCCTAAGTTCCCACCTGCATCTTGTTTCGTTGCAACAGGCTGCATGCTTAGTATGACTATCCCTTTGGATGTGTGTCCGTTTCCATCAGTGTGTTCCCCTCGTCTCTCCCTTCTGAGGTATTTGAAATGAGATGCACCATGGCCATGGCTGCGTTTCTTTTTCTCTCGTATGAGTCTGATTATTTATGTAGGTCATGCCCCTTTTGGGCTATGCCTCGATTCATCATTCGCCCAAACTCTAACTTCGAGGTTACTGATTGCTGAGCTGGCATGGTGGCGGGGCGTGCCGTGGGCAGCCGGACACTGCTGGGGAGGGCCCCGAGACGCCCCAAGAGGGCCCCAGGAGGCAAACATAATTGATATTCCATGTGCTGTTGAACGATTCTCCTAGCGTCATCGCCTGACCTGCCTTGAGAACACCCACAACGGCCCGATATGCACCAAAGAGCGGCCCGACGGCGGAAGAGAGCCCTGAATTGGCCCAAGACGGCAAATTTGCCGGCTCGGGGGTCTCTTCGGGGCAACTTGGGCCCTCCGCGGATCCTCTTGGGGACGTCGGGGGCCGCCTGGGGGCCGCTGCGAACCCTCCCAGGGGACGCTCGGAAGCCGGCCTCCCTGGGCGGGGCGCGCATGGTGTCGGAGGAATGTTCGAAATGTAACTGCACTGATTGCGTGATAACAGGTCCGCCGGCCTCCGCTTGCTGGGGATGGACAGGCGTGTGAGACATGTGGCTGTCCCCCTCCTACTTCCCCCTCCCTGGGAGCCCCAAATCCAGTTAGGTTGAGGGAGGCGTCGTCCCCCCCCCCCGTCCCCCACCCGCCCCCTTGAGGCCAGAGATCGTCAACGCACAGCCGGGCCTCGGGAGGGTCTGAATCTACATTCCGTGGCCCCCCAAATGGACAAGGTGCCATCTAAGCTTGCTCAAGCTGGGTCCGGCGAGATGGCGCACGCCACTCGAAATACACATGCACATCTGCATACAAGTGTAGATACAACTACGTAGGTTATGGAGGACTGGCCCGGCACAACTTCAGCATGGGCAAGGGGGGCTGGGACGCGGGCGCCTCTGGAACGACCACAACGGACAAATACCCCCTAAACAACCGAGACGGAACAAAACAAGCCTGGATGGCCGCAATACGGAACAGCAGGCCCCGCCAATTGCTCAAAGGGGCCGAAAAGGGCTCCCGACACAGGTCTCGTAGAGGCATAATTCATGCAATTGTCCTACACGCTCCATGCGAGTGTCGCAAACTCGCCTTCGCCGCTCCCCACATGTTGGAAGATTTCTTCGGGATCGACGACTCGTTGTGCCTGTGTGTTCTCTGACCCTTCCTGAGGTGTGTCCCCCTTCACGAGGAAATCGCCGCTCGCCCAGCGCAGCCAGGCCGACGACCCCAAGAACCCGCGCGCCGCACCCGTGCTCCCGCGCCCACGGCCCCTCGTAAACTGCAGGGGGCCCGCGCTCGTCGTCCTCCTCGCCGTCGCCGCCCTCCTCGTCCTCCCCCCGCGGGGCAAGAGGCTCCCAGGAGGCCTCCAAGAGGCTCCCGGGAGGCCCCAGAGTTCCTCCACAGAGGCCCCCAAGAGATTTCCGAAGAGACCCCAAGAACCATCCCTGAGGACTCTGGCCCACGTCAGCGTCGTCGTCGTTGCCGCCGCCGCCGCCGCCGCCGCCGTCGTCGTCGTCGTCGTCGTCTCCCTTCAGGGTCGGCGAGACAGGCCGTAAGGCCTTCGCAACCACAGGGGGCCCGCGCTCGTTTTCCTCCTCGTCGTCGTCGCCCTCCTCTTCCTCCTCCGCGGGGTCGGGGGCAGCAGACAGGGGGGTGATGACTACATTCGACCCGCATAATCAGGACGCGCGATAAGAAAGCAAGGCCCTTGGAGGGCCATGTGGACACTTTGCGAGCGGGGCGCGGCCAGCGAAAGCGGCCAAGGATGAACCGAAAGGGAAAAATACCGTGGCCGAGACCACGACTTCTCCCAGATTGCACGGCCTCTCCGTCATTGTTGCCAGGGACACGATCTTCCAGAATGCCGATGACAGGTGCGTGCGGGACCCCTTGCGTTGTCATGATGCATGAGATACTCGTACCTCTTTCATACCACTGTTCACCCCGACCCTTTGTCCCCAATATGTCGTCATGAACGTCCTACCCCCTTCAACAGCTTCGCTGAGGCGTGGTAGAAAGCCAAAGGCTGCCTAGTAGGGCTTCTGCACTCTGATATGGGATCCTCCCCCCTCTACCCGCGTTCCCCCGCGCGCCCTCCCCGCCCCCCCCATTCCTGCCGAAGACGCGATCCCTCGTGAGATAAACGATCATGCGGCGTTAGTGAAGCCACTTTCCATCGCGAAAGAGCTGCCTTCTTGCGCACTGGGCTTCCAAGGCGGTCCATTCAAGCTTCATCATATACCAAGATGACTCAATATGCTCAGACGATGGCCTCGGAGGCGCCCCCCAAAGCGGCCGAATTCACATTTGAAATCTTGCAGTGTCTGGCTCCCGCAAGCTCAAGGCGGCCCACGAATTCTCCACGACAAAACCGAAACGGCCCGAACGGCCCCCGAGAAGGCCCCAAGATGGCCGAACACGATCCCGCGATGACGCAAACAGCATCCAAGACAACCCCGAGACGGCTCAACACTGCGCGAAGGCAGCCCCGCGACGCCCCCCAGACATTCACCATGCGGCCAAACGGCCTCTCAAGCAACCCAAGAAAGCCCCCCGGCGGTTAGAACTGAGCCCCAAAACGGCCCAAACGAGCCTCATCGGACCCCCAAGACTGCCTCGCAGGGGGTCCAAGCATCCCCAAGAAGGTCCCAACGATGTCAATAAAACACCTCAAATAATCAAGACGGAATGTGTCGAATGGGACGGCCTTCCTCTCGCTTCTCTTCCTCCTCTTCCTCGTGTCTCATCCCCCTCCTCGTCCTTCTTACCAGCAGCCGCATCATCCTATTGCAGGCAACCAATATGGAAAGGATGCGCGATAAGGATGCAAGGGCTTGGACGCCCATGTCGAAGTTTTTCGGGCGGGGCGCGGCGAGCGAAAGCGGCGAAGGATGGACCGAGGAGGCGAGGATGCAAGGGTACCATTGGCAAGGTTGACCATCATTACTGTCATGGTTGACTGGACTCATCAGCGGCTTCCTCATCATCACCACCACCAACATCACCAGCATCACCACCATCATCCGAATCATCAGCCTCAACATCCGCATCACACCCATCACCAGTGACAGCATCATCATCACCATCATCATCGTCATCATCATCGTCTCCATCACCAACAGCATAGCCACCATCTTTGTCAACATCATCATCAGCAACAGCACCACCCTCAACAACATGATCACCACCATCATCATCACCATGCTAAACATCATCCTCATCACCATCACCATCACCATCACCCTCATCATCCGCACCATCATCCTCATCATCATCACCATCCTCCTCATCCCCACCGTCACCGTCACTCTCACCCTCATCACCATCCTCATCCTCATCCTCATCACGGTCCTCATCATCATCCTCGTCATCGCCACCACCATTATCAACATCACATCACCATCACCACCATTCTCAGCATCTGGATAAATGGGGCTTTCAGGGGGTTCGCCTAACACGTTAGAGTAACAAAGGGCCTTAACACGTGTAGCTTGTAAGTTCGGTGTTTTACATGCCATGAGGGCCTGCAAAGAGAACGATGACCCCGAACGCTGGGCATGGGGGCCCACGAGCGATTCGCGGCGCCTCGCTGATGGGAGACACGAGGGACGCGACGCACCACCGACCTGAGAGGGTATTGAATTAACCAATCCAGCATTCGACTGTGGATGGGGGGAACAGGCGCGGAGGGGAGGTGGGCGAAAGAGAGGTTCTGAGATCCCTGACAGGTCTGAAATCCCTGACACGGGGACTGTTTTTCACTGCGGCTGACGGCGTCGACCCCGCCTGAGAGTCCAGGCCGTCGCCAAACGTGAAGGTGGTCCCTCCTGATGCCCGAGACGTCACAGCACTTACCTGCACTCAACAAGATTGTGCACTGAAATTAGAAAGACACCCAAGGTCAAGCCCCATGATGATGAAGTTTTGGATGTCGCCACTGAGCCAGCTCTCCACAACTCTGAAAGTTAACCAGGCGAGTTGAGGATGTCGCCATACAACCAACTCTACACATCTCGGTCCCCAAACAATGTTTCTTGCGTATTGTGCGTCGTACCGGTACTACCACTTTGGACTGTGCCGCCGTTCGAAAGGCAACTTCCACGGACACCAAGCCTTGCTCAACGAGGGTCAGGGAGTCGCGCACTGTGATTCCGAGTCGTCAGGCGCTGATGGGCATCTAGCCGCACTCGATATACTTCTTCCGCTCGTAGTCGTCCACGGTGGACCCCCCTCCCTGGCGCGAGGAGCGCGCCAGGGGGCGGCTCTGGGCACGCCGCCAGGGGGCTCCAGCGCCGACACGAAGCATCCGCGCTGACCTCCTGAAGTGTAAACTTCTGCCATTCGCTGTTCCCCGAGCTGCGCCTGTGAAAAATGCGGGCACGGGGGAGGGAGAGGGAGGGAGATGAGAACGACGCTGAGGACGAGGAAGCGCTCAGATGAGAACGACGCTGAGGACGAGGAAACGCTCAAGACCCGCGCTGGTCCAGATTTGGCGCCGAACTGGAGCGGGTCTAACTGGACAGTCTCCCTGCAGCGCTGCTGCGCTGGCACGGCAACGGGCCTTGCCGCCTTGCCGTAACGAAGCGAGCACTTAGAACCAAATGCCGCCACGGCCTTACCGTCATGGTCCGCCGCCACGTGATGGCACCCTCCCATCCCTTCCCACCGACCAGCACGTAACGCCCTGGGCAGCACACAATCAAAACTGATGGAAAGGATGTGAGATAATCATGCACGGGCCTTGAAAGTGGTCAATGACAGACCGAAGAGGCAAACAAACAAGGGTACCCTTGGAAAGGTTACACATCCTTGCCATCGGTTTCGACTGTTCGGGCTTCCAGGGGAGCGACTCTGCAAGAAGGCGTGCACATATCAAACGTGGTGAGACCTGTAGACCGGATGCGTCTGAATGCCGGTCTCTTGCACCTTCGAAGCGGCTTGGAGGGGTCCGAGTGGATCGGGTCGGAGGATCGCGCCGCATCGCCGATGCATCGGCGATGCATTTGCGATGCACCTGCGACGTCGGCGATGCAACGGCGTCGCTGGCGTGGAAAAAACCTGGGTCCACATCGAGCCGCATCGCAGATGCAGCGGCGATGAGGCGTGATCCTCCGACCTCATCTGCTCGGACCCCATCTGGGAGGCCTAAAGATAGAGAACTATGAAATGCCATGTGCACCGCCCGTGTGCAACATCGGTGGCAAATGCTTGCAAACGGCTGCTCGTGTCCGCTGGTCCCCATGTGCGGGGGGGCCATCAGGCTGTGAGACCCACGCCTCAGCAGCTGAGCCGCGCAGTCCTCACTAGTGCAACGAAACGCCTGCCAACACTGCGTTTCCCCCATTGACTGAGCAACACAGGAATCATGATGTTCTGGTCACCAGCTCCCAGGGCACATAACTGCTCAATTGCTCGGCAGGTGAGACGCCCCGCCCTGCGACCCACCATTGATTATTTCCATGGTTGTTGAAGGATGTTGGCATGTGCTATGTGCTCTTGTTCTGCATTCCGACGGCTCAAGACGGCCCAAGAGGCCCCCAAGATCGCCCCAAAATCGCCTACGAGGCCTCCAAGATGGCTACATGACGGCCCAAGACGCCCCCAAGAAGGCCCCCAGAGGGCCCGAACAGGCCTCAAAGACGGCCAAGATGGCTTCCAAGACTGCTAAGACGGCCCAAGATGCACCCAAGATGGCCTGATATGGCCTCAACATGGCCCAAGAGGTCTCCAAGAGGCCTCCAAGGCGGCTCAAACGTCCTCCAGGGGGGCCGTCCAACAGCCATTGACGATCTCGAAAGTGTTTGGCATTTCCGCTGTTTCGGCCTTCCTACGGCCCAGCGGCCCCAAATGCCGCCAAGGTGGCCCCAAGATCGCCCAAGAGGCTTCCAATATGCCCGCATGACGGCCCAAGAGGCCCCCAAGACGGCCCCAAGAGGGCACCAAGACGGCCCACGAGACCTCCAAGACGTCCAAGATACTCTCCAAGACGGCCCTGAAGCGCCCCTAGAGAGCCCCAAGTCGGTTCAGACAGGCCCCCAAGACGGCTTCCGACGGTGTCAGACAGGTCGGGAACGCCCGAAGACGGCCAAAGAGGCCCCCAAGAAGCCCCTAAAGGGCCTCCAAGAAGCACCCACGAGGCCCAAGGAGGCTCCCAAGAGGCCTCCGAAAGGCTCCCGAGGAGCTCCGCAGAGGCCTCCCAAGAGGCTTCGCAAGACGGTTCCCGAAGTCGCCTCCTCCTACTCCTCCTCAGTCCCCATCATCCTCATCCTCATCCTCATCCTAATCCTCCTCCTAGTCATCCTCCTCCTCCCTCTCCTGATCCTCCTCCTATTGCCCCCCCACGCGTTCCCCGAAGGCTTTCCAAACCGACTCGGGGAACAACTGGCACGATAGCTTGGCCAAGCTCTAGCCCAGCTGTCGGCCACATAGGCGCTTCCAAAAGGGCAGGGGGCGGCGGTGATTCGCCGTAGGCGTCTTCGATAACGCCGACGTTTCAATCTGCGCTGATGATTCCGATCTGCCCCCGCAGGATGCTCCCGGATGCGCCAAGGCAGCGCCGAGACGCACCGACGCGACTCTGATATATCCCATTATGATAGAGAAGGGGCCAGCGGCTGGGGGCGAAGCCATTTCGCAAAAAAGCAAAATTAAGAATCTGAATCATAGTTGGTAAGAACGAAACTTTTAGTACGACTTATAATCGTGACGATGATAATAATAATGTTTAAACAGCCCTACTACTAGCAATATACAAAACATATCAATGATAGTGATACGAATGACAAAATTTAAACTGCCAATAAGAATGATTAACAATACAGCGGTCACATCCCTCGTACGGCAAAAACTGCAGATCCGCGCTCTCCAAGCCATGGGAATGAACTCCCTAGACCGCGATCCCTCGTAACATAGACATTGCATTCGCGCTCCCTGGCGCTCCCAAGCGCTCCCCAAACTCCCAGAAGCTCACGAGCCAGGCGATCTCGAGCGCCCCCCACGAATTCTCAAGCGCTCCCCAGGCTACGAGGCTTTCCCGAGCGCGCACAGGCGTTCTCAAATCAGGCGCTCCCAAACGCTCCGAAGCGCTCCCTGGCGATCCCGCGAAGGCCACTGCGGTTCTGCGCGTGCAAACACGATCCCTCACGCAACATGCTGGAAGGCCCGCCCCCTCCTCCACCTTTTCTCCTCTTCCATCTAGCTCACCAAAAACCCAACCAACCACCTACCTCTTTAGCCAACGTGCAAGCGAACCAACCAGCTAATAAACATGCCAATCGTCAATTCAGACAGACAGCCAGCCAACTGACATAATTGCCAGCCTGCCAACCACTTAGCCAATCACCTGACTAACCCAACCAACGCCTCCATGCAGGCAATCAGAGGGGGGATAGGGGGGGAGTGTCGGCGGAGGGCAAAGCCATTCGGCAATTAAGAAACAGCCGAGTCACCCCATGCTGGAGACGGCCGGGGTGTCTGAGCTTGATGGGCCTTGAGAAAATCGGTCAAGCGGATGGGGGACAGGGCAAGTCCGCTCAAAATCTGTCCCTGGACCACTCCCAGGGTCCATCTGGTGCAATGGTTTCACCCCTGATCCGCTTCTGACGGTCATGGGGCCCGAAAACGGCTCCTGGAGACCGACAAAGGCAAACCACATTCTCGAACGCAGAACCTCGAACCACGCCCCACCCTTCCTGCACGACCGAACCAATCCTGGGCAACCTCAGACCCCCAGCCGGCGCTCAAACCTCATGGGTACTCAAGCGCGTGTGAGCACACCAAAACTCAGACCAGGATGGAGACATGCAGGTGCCAGCAGCGGCCGCTCAGACTCGCCGGGCGCAAGGCTCGAGCTAAGCAATGCTTTCTGTGCTTCTTCTGCCGTTCTCCTTCGCTCTGCCTTTGCTGCAAAACGAAAGCGGCCCACGAAATCGCCCGAACACCGCTGGGCTGGAGCCCTGGCTGGGCGACCTACTGCAGGCGCCTCCAGTCCGGGCCTCCGCCGCTCGAGCCCGGGAGCGGCAGGGCCTCCCTCGCCAGGGTCTTCACCAGCTTCTTCTGCATCCGGAGCCGCTGCGTCTTCGTCTTCGGCTGGAACGCGGGCGGCTCCGAGCCGGCATCCTCGGAGGCCTCCCAGATGGGGCTGGAGTGGACTGACGAACGAACAGCACGCCACCATACCCACAGGGGGGGCGCAGGGGCCTATGGGTGCGCGTTGTCGGATGTGGGTCCCGCTCGAACTGAAGCCTCCCCGGCCCCAGGGACCAATACCCCGCATCCATACCAATAGCCAGTCCTCTTCCCTCCGATCATGCTATGGGTATGGATGCGTGTTGTTCGTTCGTCGTACATGGGGTCGGAAGATCGCGCCGCATCGCCGATGCATCGGCGATAGATCGACGATGCATCGCCGACGCATCGGCGACGTTGGCGTGAAAATTATCCTGGCGAAGGACCCAACCATACGCAAGTGTGATAACCGCAGGGCAGGTGGGACGAAGCAAGGGGAATTCCCCATGGGGCCACGAACCGTGTGAGGGATGCGCCAAGATTGGGCCGGGCCGCCATGCGAACCCTGCCACTGGGGCCTTCGGTGGAGCTCTCTATGGGACCACGAACCGTGTGAGGGGTGCGCCAAAATGGTGTGGGGCCGCCATGCGAACCCTGCCACTAGGGCCTTCGGTGGAGCTCCCTTTGGAGCCACGACCCGTGTGAGGGTGCGCCAAGATTGGGCCGGGCCGCCATGCGAACCCTGCTACGGGGCCTTCGGTGGAGCTCCCTGTGGGGCCACGAACCGTGTGAGAGATGCGCCAAAATGCGGGGCCGCCATGCGAACCCGGCCTTCGGTGGAGCTCCCTATGGAGCCACGAAGCGCTGTACTGGGTGGGTGAAACGCAGGGAGGAGGGGGAGGAGGGTGGAGGGGAGGAGGAGGGAGGAAGGAGGGAGGAGGGACGCGGGGACAGTCTTCAAATCGAGCCGCATCGCCGACGCCCCGGCGATGCAGCGCGATCCTCCGACCCCATCAGCTCGGACCCCTATCTGGGAGGCCTATCGAGCTCCCCGATCGTCGGTTTCGAAGTGCGGCGTAGACGACCTCGACGACCTCGACGACCTCGACGGCGCACGGCGCATGCGACGCGCGACCGCCTCCCGCGGCGGCCCTGAGGCCCATGGAAAGGGGCCCAGGGACACACAAAGAAATAGACACAGCTCCCAGGCTTCTCACTATTCCCCATTTTCTGGGCCTTCGCCTTCCCCCCCCCGCTTCCCATATGTCATCCTATCCTCCTGGGAGTCGCCGATTCATTGTGTCTGTGTTTCTCCCCTCCTGGCAGAGATCCCCGATCGTTGGCTTCGAAGCGAGGCGTGGACGCCCTCGACGCGCGACCGCCTCCCGCGGCGGCCCCGAGGCCCAGCGATCCTCCTCCGAGGCCGCCGCCGGCACCAGCCGCGAGGGCCAGGGCACATCCTCCGCGCGCGGGAGCCGGGCCGCGCAGGCCAGGCCCGGGGGCGCCGCGGGCCACCGCGGCCCCGCGCCCTCCGCGGGGGCCACGATCGGGGGGGAGGGCCCCTCGGCCTGGAATGAGGTCGGGCATGTCCCGAGCAGGCGGAGTCTGGACGAGACGTCCACAGTATGACGAAACATTGGAAATAGTCAGAGCATGTTCGAACATAGCAGGACATAGTCGAATATCGTCCCTTGACTACGTCTTGACTGTTCTTGAATATTCCTCGTGCAGAGGGACATACCCGACCTAAGGCCATCGGCCTGGAAGCGAAGGGGCCCAGTAGAAGCCTCCTAGATGGGGTCCGAGTAGGGATCGGAGGATCTCACCGCATCGTCGACACATCGGCGATGCATCGCCGACGCATGGGCGATGCACTGGCGACGTCGGCGGTGCATCGGCGACGTCGGCGTGGAGAAAGATCGAGCTCCTCATCGGGCCGCGTCGGCGATGCATCGGCGATGCTGCGCGGTCCTGCGACCCCATCTACTCCGACCCCATCTATGAGGCCTAGATCCAGACCCCTGGGGGTTTACTCAACACACATTCTGGAGAGGCTTGGGTGTCGATTCTGGAGAAGGAGGAGGACGAGGAGGATCAGGGTTTGCCTGTGCCTAGTGAGATCCTTGTCGAGTGTTGTTCTGCTGCTGCTGATGGTGTGGAGGAGGATGAGGAGGAGGGGAGGGAGGCCTGAGCCTGGAAGGGGCGATGCACTGCCGATCGATTGGCGACAGGCACCCGATGGTGGGCGAATCCGCAGGTCCCCGGGCTAGAGGCAGAAGAAACAACGTAAACATAAACTTGTGGCGCTCCGCGCGGACTTCTTGGCTCCGCGCTGGACCCCCCTCCCTGGCGCGCGGAGCGCGCCAAGGGCGGCGTCGGAGGCGCCGCCAGGGGGGGCGCCAACAGTTTACACCGCTGTTTCTTCTTCGACGGGCGGGGGTGGGCTGCCGGGCCCCGATCGGCGATGCACAGACGATTCGGGGTCGATGCGTTCATCCCCTCCTAAGCCGATCCCTCCATGACGTTGCCCTTTGGTGCTCGGTTGGGCCTCGGTTCGTGGGGGGCGATACATGTTGGGGGGGGAAGAAAGGTGCACTCCTCAGGCCCCAAAGGCCGCCTTTTGGACCCTAAGGGCCCCTTTAGGAGCCCTACAAGGGCCCCTTCTCTGCAGCCCTCACTGCCCCCCCCATGTAGGGAATCGAACTCTATCTACACCGACGATTTTTCCGACCCTGCATTGAAATTTGCACTGGAGAGCGGATCCTGGTGTATACGGGACCCCTGTGTATACATTGTTCGTTATTTCCCCGGGACATAAAGGACAAAAAGTATACACCACACCACCCCAGCGTCGTCCCCGACCCTCAACAAGTCCTGGGATTGAAGAACAGCCTACTACTGGTAATGTGTATGTTCCAGTTTCCGACCACGTATCGCCCCCCGTTACGCGACACGCTCTCCGGCCGCCGTTCGGAACGATCCAGGCACCCTCGGAACGCCCTCAGCGAGGCGCAGCTGCCAGAGAGCATATCCGGAGGCTGGGAAGCCGCCGAGTGTCCGAAAGCCTCGAACCTCGGACCTCGAGCCTGCCCCCCCCTGTGCCTTGGACGCCCTGACCCGAGTTACCCCTGATGATTTTTGGGCTCTGGGCGCCCGAATTATCCGGGGTAACTCGGGTCCGGGATAGATCGGGTTCGGAATCCCGAAAAACGAACCCGAGTTAGCCCTGACCCGAGTTACCCCTGATGATTCGGGGCTCTGAGTGCCTACCCCCCCGATCGCTGCCCCTGACCTCGAGGCTCACCGTGGCCATGCCGCCGCGTGGCGGCGCTCGCTGGGCCACGCTGGCGGGGGGGGGCGCTGCGGGGGGCCGCCCTCGGGGTCGGCCGGTGCAGGGCCCAGACCTCCTCCGCCGCGGGGACAACGGTTCGGTCGGCCATGCCCCCCTCCCTGCAGGCGGATTCCCGACGAACATCCAAAAATAGTCCCAAAAGACCCCCGACTTGACAGAAGCAGTGGAAACAAATCGTCCCCCGAGCATGTTTTTGATAATTTTGGAAAATTCCTCCTGTAGAGGGACGTGCCCGACTGAACCTCGGGGTCGGCCAGTGCAGGGCCCAAACCATCTCTCCCGCGGGCACAACGGAAAGAAGACCCTCGCCATCGCTCGGACGTCCAGATCTTTCGTGCGTCGAACTGCTTCGCAAGAGGGAAGACGAACCCAGGACGAGGACAAAATCGGGTGAGGACGAATTGGGAATCTCTCGGATCCAGCGGCTCTGAAGAATGCGTCGGGCGCCGCGGCCTTCTCAGAGCGTTCTGGAACGCTCTGAGAGCGTTCCGGAACGCTCTGGAACGGATTTGTCCCCGTCCTAGCCCCGTCCCAAGATGGTCCAAGCTGCTCCTCGATGGTCCTCGCCGAGGGAGGAGTGCACATGTCCGAGCGATGCCGAGGACACGACGGGCGCGTCTGTTTTGCAACATGTCGGCCTCTGGGGGCCCTTGCCAGGCACCGGGACCGTCCCAGAACGACTCGGCATGGGAAAAGGACCCTAGGTGAAGGGGCCAGACCTCCTGAACCCTAGGTGAAGGGGCCAGACCTCGAGGTATCCACATTGTGAGAGAGCCACGGCGTCGGAGGTCTGGGAAGAGGCAACTTGCACCGGGATCGGCTTCGAGCCAGCCCGGGTTGGCTTGAGCAACAGTCTGCCACGTCGCCGCTGTGCAACGGCTGGTAGCGAGCGTCATCTTATTCGGCGTTTCGACACTGGGTGAAGCGGGTGGTCTGGCTCCAGACCTCTGCTTAAGTAATGCACCTGTTTGCAGCAGCAACAATGCGTCCTATGGGGGAGACCCCACCTGCCTGACAAAGGCGCCACAAACAGCCAAGATCTACTCCATAGAAGGGGGGAGGGAGGGGTGCGAGGGCCCGCGCCGATCGGCAAAATCGTGAACCAAAAACGATCACTATCTGTCAGGACCCTTGATATTTCATCAAGGCTGCAGGCTCGCTCACTGCGAGGCAGCTCCTGGCCGCTCGGCGCACCGACCCCCCCTGCAGGTCCGTGAAATGTGGCATGCCATGCGGGGGCGATGCCGCAAGTCCCGATTCTGCTGGAGGGGCCGCTGTACCCCCCCCGAAATGGAAATATCGCGCCCGAAACGGCCGCTAGGACCACCACAAAAAGCCCCCAACAGCCCTCCAATATTCACCCCTATGAGGACCTCAAGAGGCCCCAACGATGCCCCACATAAGGTTCCAACGCGTGTTTTTTTCTTGTTTGTGTGTGCGTGCGTGTGCGTGTACGTGTACGTGTACGTGTACGTGTACGTGTACGTGTACGTGTACGTGTACGTGTGCGTGTGCGTGTGCGTGTGCGTGTGCGTGTGCGTGTGCGTGTGCGTGTGCGTGTGCGCGTGCGTGTGCGTGTGCGCGTGCGTGTGCGTGTGCGTGTGCGTGAGTGTGTGTGTGTGTGTGTGTGTGTTGTGCGTGCGTGCGTGCGTGCGTGCGTGCGTGCGTGTGTGTGTGTGCGTGTGTGTGTGTGTGTGTGCGTGTGCGTGTGCGTGTGCGCGTGCGCGTGTTTGTGTGTAGTGTTCGTGTGTGTGTGTGTGTGCGTGCGAGAGAAGGTAAATAACGAGAGAAAACGATAATGAGAGAGACAACGAACACATACAGAAACAAAACATGTTTGTGAGGGAGAGAGGGGTCGAGAAAAAGAAGAGAGAGAAAGAGAGAGAGAGAGAAAAAAAAAGAAACACATAATATATATATATATATATATATATATATATACATATATATATACATACATGGGCGACACAGCCGCCATGAAACGATGAGCGCACGCGGCGCACCGCACGAAAGCCATCAGCAATATCAAAACATGCAAAATTGCGAACAAAGCAACACTCGGGGAAACGGTCTAGTTAGATCCGTGTGTGGCGCAACCCCACGAAAAAAATACCCCGCAAGAAGGTGGGCACGTTGCGCAACACCCCGGGGAGCTAGGCCTGCGGAGTCGCAAACAGACAACAACACTCCACCAGACCCCGATGGGCAAGGTGGGAGCACGTGTACATTTGGCAGCTGGCTGGGGGAACATCTAGCTAGACCCGCGCACAGCGGCACTCATTGAACCACCACGGGCACAGGAACACTGCGACAACTGTACGTACATCGTTGCACAAGTTGCAACGCCCAAAACGTCGAAGTCTCGTTTGATTAGCTAAATAAAAAACCCCGCTGGACCTCGCAGGACCTCACGTAAATGGCGGCAATTTCGCAGTTGGCAGCACCCGGAAACGGCGAGGGACAAGAAACGCGGTGGCCGCGCAGGGAAAAGTGAGTAGGCGTAGGCGGCGGGGAGGAGGCAGGGAAGACGCCGGGGAAGAGCAGCGGTGTTCTTGTCAAGATATTTGACTCGAAACGAGAACGTACCCAACATACTGAAAGGCAGCAGCGTGGAATGGGGATTCCCCGCTGCAATGTCCCGGCGGATAACCGCGGGTCACGCCCGGAAGCCGCGAGGAGGACATCCACCTCCACGCCCATATCCCCCTTGACGTCCACCACCTCAGCCTCCTCTGTCCTCCGCAACAACCACCTGCTCGTGCGCCTTCTCAAGCAACGCCACCCTGGCATCCCCCTCCTCATCCTCGTCGTCGTCGTCCTCCTCCTCCTCCTCCTCCTGTTCGTCCTCCTCTTCCTCCTCCTTCTCGTCCTGCTGTTCCTCTCCTCCTCATCCTTTACCTCCTCCTCGTCCTCTCGCCCCCACCCCTCCTCCTCCACTTGTTCCTGCGCCAGATCACGAATAAGACGCGGCAGACTGCGTGAACAAGACGGCGCCGATGCACCTACTTCCGCGGGCAGCTTGCGCGCGGGTGAACGCGCAATCGAACCCCGCGGCATCGCCCCCCCAACTTCGAGGTAAGCGGTGCAACGGACCGCTTCTGTCAAAGCCTCGTCTCCCCCGTTCGGTGGCGGTTAACCCGCCCATCCCGCTAGCAGACCGTGGAGGCCTTGGATAATGAATCCGAGGTCTGGCGCCTTGTGGGAATCCACTTGCGTGGCAGGGGGGGGGGGGGGGGGGGGGGGGGGGCAGACGCTGCCCCCCCCAATCATTGTGCGCTCTCTATCCTCCCTCCGTCTCCACTCCCCCCCCCGCACTTCCCCCCCCCTCCCCCCCCCTCCCCCTCCCCCCCCCCATCCTTCCCCCCCTTCCTCCGCCTCAGATCCCCTGGAGGGGGGCGGCAAGTGAACGGCGCGGTTGCGGTCGCGCGCCCCGGCGGGGGTGGAAATGCGTCGCCCAGTTGGGGTTGCGGTTGCGCGCCCGCGGGCGGGTTGAAATGCGTCGCCAAGGTGCGGTTGCGCGCCCGCGGGCGGAGTAATGCGCGTCGCCAGGCTGCGGTTGCGGTTGCGCGCCCGCGGGCGGGTCGACATGCGTCGCCCAGGTGCAGTTGCGGTTGCGCGCCCGCGGGCGGGTCGAAATGCATCTCCCAGTTGCGGTTGCGGCTGCACGCCCGCGGGCGGGTTGAAATGCGTCGCCCAGTTTCGGTTGCGCGCCCGCGGGCGGGTCGAAATGTGCCGCCCAGTTGCGGTTGCGGCTGCGCGCCAGCGGACGGGTCGCGATGCGTCGCCCAATTGCGGTTGCGCGCCCGCGGGCGGTTTGAAATGTGTCGCTCAGGGGCGTCTGCGGTTGCGCGCCCGCGGGCGGGGTTGAAATGCGTCGCCCAGTTGTGGTTGCGCGCCCGCAGGAGGGCTAAAATGTGTCGCCGAGGTGCGGTTGCGACTGCGCGCCCGCGGGCGGGTCGAAATGCGTCGCCGAGGTGCGTTTGCGGTTGCGCGCCCGCGGGCGGTTTGAAATGCGTCGCCCATGTGCGGTTCCGGTTGCGCGCCCACGGGCAAGTCGAAATGCGCCGCGTAGTTGCGGTTGCGGTTGCGCGACCGCGAGCGGGTTAATACGTGTCGCCCAGGTGCGGTTGCGCGTCCGCGGGCGGCTCAAAATGTGTCGCCCAGTTTCGGTTGCGCGCCCGCGGGCGGTGTGAAATGCGTCGCCCAGTTGCGGTTGCGGTTGCGCTTGCGCGTCCGCGGGCGGGTCGAAATGTGTCGCCCAAGTGCGGTTGCGGTTGCGCGCCCGCGGGCGGGTTGAAATGTGTCGCCCAGTTGCGGTTGCGGTGGCGCGCCCGCGGGGAGGTTGAAATTCGTCGCCCAGTTGCGGTTGCGCCCCCGCGGGAGGGTTGAAATGTGTCGCCCAGGTGCGGTTGCGGTTGCGCCCCCGCGGGCGGGTTGAAATGTGTCGCCCAATTGCTTCTGCGGTTGCGCGCCCGCGGGCGGGTTGACATGCGTCGCCCAGTAGCGGTTGCGCGCCCGCGGGCGGGTCGAAATGCGTCGCCCAATTGCGGTTGCGGTTGCGCGCCCGCGGGCGGCGTCGCCAAGGCGCGGTTGCGCGCCCGCGGGCGGGCTTGAAATGTGTCGCCCAGTTGCGGTTGCGGTTGCGCGCCCGCGGACGGGTCGCGATGCGTCGCCCAATTGCGGTTGCGCGTCCGCGGGCGGGTTGAAATGCGTCGCCCAGTTGCGGTTGCGGTTGCGCGCCCGCGGGCAGGCTGAAATGCGTCGCCCAGTTGCGGTTGCGCCCCCGCGGGAGGGTTGAAATGCGTCGCCCAGGTGCGGTTGCGCTTGCGCGTCCGCGGGCGGGTCGAAATGTGTCGCCCAATTGCTTTTGCGGTTGCGCGCCCGCGGGCGGGTTGACATGCGTCGCCCACTAGCGGTAGCGCGCCCGCGGGCGGGTCGAAAATTCGTCGCCCAGTTGCAGTTGCGGTTGCGCGCCCGCGGGCGGGTTGAAATGTGTCGCCCAGGTGCGGTTGCGGTTGCGCCCCCGCGGGCGGGTTGAAATGTGTCGCCCAGGCGCGGTTGCGCGCCCGCGGGCGGGTTGGAATGCGTCGCCGAGGTGCGGTTGCGGATGCGCGCCCGCGGGCGGGTCGAAATGCAGCGCCCGGTTGCGGTAGCGGCTGCGCGCCCGCGGGCGCGTTGAGATGCGTCGCCCAGTTGCGGTTGCGCGCCAAAGGGGCGTTTTGAAATTTGTTGTTCAAGGCGCCCTCCTGACGCTCAGTCAATCAGTCAGCCAGTCAGTCAGTCAGTCAGTCGCCGGCGGGCGCGAAATTTCACTCGGCTCCGCCGGGAATGATGCCTGGAACTCGCCATGGGCGCGCGCCAAGAGGCAGCCTCATTCCAGGTGGCGACAAAGTAAAGCACAAGCGCAACGCCGAGCATAGCTACTCACAAATATTACGCGCAATACATCAGCAACTGATCCGAAGCGCGCGCGCGACGCCCCACCAACGTGAGCGCGGTGAAGTTGACTACGCGCCATAACAATAGCCAGGCGCCTAAACAAAACAGCCAGCGACGCCGACATGACGACACCCGAGGGCCCCGGGGAGTGCACAGACGCCCCAGGACAGCCAATGAAGGCCCCGAGAGGGATCCAACAAGCCCTCGATCGGAGGCCCCCAACACGGGGTGCAAGCTTCCCGCGACAACTCCTGGCGCTTCCCGCAGGACTTTCCTCGGGGCCCGTGACGCGTGGCCGGTTGTCCACGCCTCCAACGTGTTTCAAGATTGCCTCATGGGGCTGTCGCGCGCCTCTCCTAAGGGGCTCTTGGGGCGTCTTGGAGTCTCTTGGGGGCTGGCCCAAGAGGCGAAAACCAC